TGGCTCTATATAGTTACAGTAACAAATTCGAAAATTTGCCACCAGCCCGACTCGAACCGTTGACCTTGTCTGTGGGGATTTGGGAGCTTAACCAATAAGCTACGGGGCCCAAACCCGATATAATAGAATTTGAAAATTGGCAATTATATTATTTGCTTAATAATACTTTTTAAGAATTTCAAATTCAAAATATTAACATAGACAATAAAGAAAATAAAAGGAAGTAAATATAAGTTTACTATACTGATTTATATCTTGAAGTGGTAACCAGACTCTGCCAGGAATCTAAACACTTTTTTTTATGTTATGTTTCTGGTTAGGGTTCATGGTTATAGGTCTTAAAAAATTATTTTTATATGTAAAATCATGCTCCTGACATTTCTTGTTAGTGACCAAAGGCCAATTTAAACACTAGTTTTTGAGTATTTTCACTTTTTTTTCTTTTTTTTCTTCTTGTGCATGTGTTTTGTTTTGACATTGGGCTGATCCAGGACGATTAAAATTTATGTATCTCGATTGGCCATTTTTCATGTGCCACATTATGTTACTGCAAAAGTGTCTAGACTCCTGGTGGGGTTGTGATAACCGTAGCAAAATATAACGATATTTTTTTTAATCAGTTCTTCAGATAGTTTAGAATTATCATTAGACAGTATATGCTCTTTATTACTGCTGTATATTGTTGGTAAACAAAAATATTATTTTTGCTATATATTGTAGATTTCTATAAAATTAATAAGCACATACTTTTCTTGAAATTCTCCAGATTCGGCAATAAAATTACAAGTCATTCTTCCTAATAGAAATTCTCTATTATTTTCTAATAATGTCGTTTGACTCCAAACAAATTTGATCTGATATATGCTTTCATAATCTTCAAATATCCTTTAGTATTAGTTAAAGGATTTTGCTGAAAATTCCAATAATTATAATAAAATATTTTATTAAGTCTAATCGCTCTCATAGATCCTTCAAAACAACATTGATATTTATATTTCACTAAACTATATTTAAACTTTTCTTCATTTTTAAAAAGATATATAAATATATTTTTTAGAAAAATTTCAATAGAAATATGTTTTTTTCCAATAGAATTTTTAGAAAAACCAAGTTTTTTTTTTATAAGAACGATTAAAGAGTTAATATAATACATTATTTATTTTGAAGTAGATTGAGGAATTGAGTAAAAATAAGGTATTGTTTTGTTATTGAAATGTTTACTTGCTTCATGTGCAAGCAATTTTTGATAAGTTGTAAAGGCTTTAAAGCAAAGCTTGCAACTAATTAATAATTGACTTACAATTACGATGCATTATTGCTAAGAAAACAATTATAAATTTGCAATTATCACAATAATTAATCAGGTGACAAAATCAGATATGTGCAAAATCCGCCCATATGTTTAGCTACAACAATCTAGTAATTAAATCTTAAATAATCTAGAAAATTATATATCTATTTATACTGATGTGACTTGTTTAACCAATTACATATTAACAATTCTTATTTATCACTTAAATAAGCTATTTGCAAAATTAATATTTACAATATATAATGAATTAAATATAGTATATCTTCTAATTATATTTTAACTATTACAATCTAGGTGAATCTTTGACCAATCTAGTAAATTTAAATTACAGATAAAGTAATCTAAGCTTTTATTCTTACATATAGTTTTTACTTTTTATATTCTATGTATTTAAAGATTATTAACTTATTACAGTTACTATATTAAAAACTATTAATAAAATAGATGCCAAAAAAATAAAATAAAATAAAAATTAATAAATTTAATAATTTTAACTTCAATTTATTATTAATTTTATATTATATTTAATTTTAAAAAAATGCAATATATCATATATTAAAAAATATTTTAATATTTATCTAAGGCCACACAAATTTAATTTATTGATTTTCATAACATGAAATTTTTAAACAGACCCGGCCGGCCGGCTTTTTTTTTTAAATTTCATATATAAAAATTTTATAAAATTTTTATAAATTTTTTTTTAAAAACCCACCCGGTTATTAAAACATATAAAAAATTTTTTTACAAGTTTTCGAATTTCGACCCGGCCGGGTTATGAAAATCAATTAATTAATTTTGCATGGCCTAATTAAATTTAATAAACTTTTTTTATTATTATAAAAATTAATAAAATTAAACAAGTTTATTAAATTTGACTAAATAAATATTATTTTTAATTAAAAAACAAAAAAAAAATTCAAAAGCTTGTTATTATCTAATAAATAAAAAAAAATTTATTAAAATTCACTAAAAATTATTAAAATCTTTCAATAAACCAAAAACACGAAAATAAACCACTATAATAAAAAATTTAGATAAATGATTTTCACTAATTTATAATAAAAATCATTAACCCAAGTAACAAATTTTTTTTGTTAAATATTACTGGGCTTAATCAATATTTTAGAAGTTTAATTCCAATCTTTCTTGATATCAAACGACTATAAAATAAATTTTATATCAATTTTACTATATCGTGCACCGAAAATATAAAATCAATCATTTAATCTTACCCAATTCCATTCAACATGAGTATAATTATCATCATCGACAAATTTGCTCTAAAAGTGATTGTTTATGATTAATTTTTCAATAATCTTTTTACAATTGTAAGGCTTTAAGAAACAACAACGTAAACTTTACGAACCTTCGCTTCATAATGGCCACGGGCAATCATACCTTTTGGGGCTTCTTCGACCATAAACTAGATTGATTGAATAAGAACATTCAGCCACAACAACATAATATTATTTATTGTTTCCGCAACGTGACCATAAATGAAGACCTACTTTCTTCTCATAAGGTTCATCACTTGGACCATAACTACCAATCATTTCCTCAGTTTTGTCAACTATAGAGGAAATATAGATGATAAGTCTAACAATATACGTAGAGCATTTGTTTTAGTGCTAATTACCTTTAATGCCGCTTCTCTTGACGACTTGTAAATATTTGAGACCACAAACAACTTCATGTTGAATCCTAGATTAAATACATATCAGGTGAACTTTTACGATGTGCTTATTAGGTCGATTTATGTTTCATTTGGTAAGTTACCTAAACTTAACTTTCATTTGATATTCGACACCTTCTTTGATAACGAAGGGTCTGTTTTTGACATTTTCAAGAGCCTCTACGAATGAAAAATTTACATGAGATATTATCTAAGGGAAATGCTGGTAATTATAAGTCGTAAATAAATACCTTTGGACGATAAGTCCAATACTACATCCTCTCTCCCTTGAACCTCAAGCGCAAGTTGTAAAATAATTACCTAAAGTTGAAGTTTATTAACTGAATGTCAGAAACTACGTATATTTTTCTATTTTGAGGCATACCTTGCGAGTATCATCTTTAGGACCTGAAACGCCAACCATATGTGCAGAAAATAAAGAGATGTAAATCAGATGTAACCGAAATTTTAAAGTAAATTGGATACTTGCTTACCAGTTGACTTGCCCAAGCCAAGTGACGCTTTCCACCTCTTAAGAGATTCGTCGGTAGTGTCCATAGAATTATATTCATCAATGGTCTTCTTTTCACCTACTTTGTAACCAGGTGTTTGGCTCGGTGCGAGCTCATCCTGATCGGCCGTAGAACTCATAGTATTATAAGTTTTTTAAGAGCGTTATAGATGTGGAGCGAGATCAAATGACTTTGAAGGTATCAATTTATTTGCTCGCTGGATAATACACTTTTTTAAGAACGTAATGTAATCTTGCATCACGTGATATGTTGTGATTATTGAACACTTTAGTTGCTGTATTTTACCTAATGCGTGTTGTACTTACGTATCGTACGTTCGTACCGAGCTTTGTGATGCAGAAAAAATTCTTTAAGTTTATTACTACGTATCGTAGTGAAATCAGCAAATAAAATTACTAATTTTAAAAAGAGTTTTGTTAAATGTAGCAGGTTGTGATATCGCAGGTTAATACGTAATTTTTAAAAAAAAATTATATTTATTATTAG